TGACCTGAATACTCATGTAGGTGTGATAGAAGAAGCTGTAACCTATAATCAATATTAATATGAATAGAAAATAGCAAATTGAGAGTTGGAATCTGTGATTTCAACAAATTGATCTGTGAGTTGATAATAATGATCTATGGCTTTAGAATAAGGATCTGTGACTTGTAAGAACCGTCGTCTGATCTGTGACTGTACACATTTATTATGTGACTTGAAAATAGCAATCTGAAGATAGGAATCTATGACTTTAGAATAATGATCTGTATAAGAATCCATAATAACTGAATGAAATGTAATAGGCATAACGAATGGAAATAGGATTTAACAACCATATAAACATTCATAAACTTCATCTATTGTAAAATAAGAAGTACAAATTTTCAAGTCAACTACATATTTACATCGATTAACACAGAATTTCAACTCTCACTCCATATTATACACCTCTCGACCTTTTTCTTAACCCTTTTGGTAGCCTTCTTGATGTCACGGCGCTTATATAGCAGTGCAACAAATCAGTTCTATCGCTGAATTTTTTTAATAGTTGTTCCATCGAGCTTGATGTCAGTGTTGTTATAGTTCATGACATAAAGTTCAATTCGGACTTCATCTCCATCAAGTCTGACTTCATTTCTCCTTGTATACGAACAATAATATTCATCTTGTTGCTCCTTTCTGCCTTGATTGATGATATCTGCCTTAACATCATTGATTTGCGTAGATAACTCTTTATTTTTTGACTGGAGTTCACAGAATTCGCTTGAATGTTCCAATCTTCCATCGGTAATCCTTAAAACGTGTATTTTGGACTTGTAGATTGACGGTTGCACATTTGGACTTCTAACACGCAATGATATAGATGATTGCTATGGTCTGGTGTACGGGGACACCATCCATATATGACTGTACTATTTCCATCTCAGAAGGGTTGATGTCATTTTACTTCGAACTATTACAAAATAACAACAATTATCAGCCCCAAGTTCCATAGAGGTTGTGATTGCATGATGTGAACTGTGACTGCATAATGTGGTTAGATGTGAGTTGAGAATGTTAATTGTGACCTATACAAGCAGGATGTTAACTGTGAGCTAATTAGGGACTTGTGAATTGTGACCGTTACTTCATAATGTGAAATGTGATATATGATTGCATAATGTGATTTCTAACTAAGATTTAATGAACTCTTACAACTAACATTTGTGATTGCATCATTGTGACCTAAAATGTAATGTAATTTAATGAACACTAAAACGTGAAATATTATTAGTGATTGCATAATGTGAACTTCTACTGCATAATGTAGGTAGATGTACACAAATTGTACACAGGTCACAAACACATAATAGGTCGCAGAAACTAGGAAAATGCATTTCTATTTATAAACTTGGTCACACGCTGGACATACTTCACAACATAAAATAGCAAACACATAATAAATAGGTCACATAAAATGGCAAACATATAATGCAAAAAATCACACAAATGAAGTCCCTATTTCTAGGTCACAACCGGAAAAGAAGCATATTGTTAACATAATAACGAAAGAAGATGGTCACATATGGGTTGGCATATCACAAACATAGCTATTTATTTCATTGCTACTTAAGTCACAACCTCCAAAACACAGATGTTGGTCACACAAGGTACGAAATAAACTGGTCACATATGGATTTATTTCATTTTTCTTCACCCGGACATTTCATCAAACACATTTCCAATGACAAAGTAAAATAAAAAATAAAGTTACACTACAAATTCGACGGTTAAAATGAATCAAAGAAAAAGTAGGATAACAGGTCAATAATGTATCCACTCTCACCTTATTAGGTCACCTTTTCAACAATTAGATCACAAATTTTAAAATTGACAAGTACCTAAACTGTAAACACCCAAATAATTTCATAAAACAATTGCTCATCACCAAAATTGATTTACCTACTTAGAACAAGGTTTTTTGCATTTTAGGAGGATTTCTATGACTCGATTTTGTTGTTGTTGTTGTTGTTTTTTTTTTGTGCCTTTTAGCTTTATGTAATTTCTCTACCTTTCTGAGCTCTCGATTGCTTTCTTCTCATGATTTTCACTGCTCGAAGGAGGCATTAATATTCGGATTTACAGCCTTCACAGGACGAAAATACTTATAGATTGATGGTTATATGGTGTGAGGATAATGTGCATGTTGACTATGGTAGGGAGTTCGTCGGAGATGTACAGTGACGATGGAAAACTCCTTGCAGTTGTGCTGTATGAAAACTAAACGTGGGAGGAGGTTTGGAAATATAAGGAAGTTATGATGTTTTCTAAATTTAAAACACGTAAATCACTGGATAGGCGGTTACTAATGCATATATTAAGCATATAATATTTAAATATAATATATCTGATTTTTGAAAGGTTAAACTTTTCATCTTATTTTTGAACCCTAGATTTTAATGTTAGAGTTTTGTGTATTTTCCACTTGGACAGTGCTGGGCGTACAAGCCCAACACCTTACGGGGCTTACAGGGGTCTTATCGACCCCTCACATGGGAGGGATCGAGAGTTTTTTTTATGGCATCGGGGCCCACTCGAGCCGACCCCATGTAGGCTTTGTTTTTTCCACTTTATGTAATCATCCCATCACAAATTGTGGAAATTACACATTTCCCTACTTTAAGTATTCACAATTCTAAAATAAGATGAATAGTTTAACATTTCAAAAATTAGATATATCATGTTTAAATATTAAATATTAAATATACAAATTTCATTATTTTCAAAACCCTAATTAGTTTATTTTTCTCTCCATCTCCCTTTCTCTCTCTTTCTTCACAACCACTACCGGCAAGGCTCTAGATCTTCTCTCCCTCTTCTTGATGCGGGACCAACATCAGATGTCGAAAC